CGGCCGGGGATGACACAGACAAGCAGGACACCGGGAGCGGCCGGCGCGTGTTGGTGAGGGATTGTCCCCCCAGGGTCCCCTCTCTCCATGGCCTCTCGCACAACCAACCACCGCAAAGGCGACGACCGCGCAGAGCTGCCTGGCTGCGAGCCCTTTCGCCGGCAGCTTCCTCACCGAGAGCAGCACAAACTCCCCTCCTCCCAGTTACCGGCAACATGGCAGCCGGAGGGTAGCGGCAGAAGCATATCCTCCCATGAGATTGCTCGGCCAGGGGCCCATCCCCAATCTCATGGGGTCACAGAGGCTGCAAGAGACCCCAGGAGCACCCACGCTCTGGGGCCAGGGCAGATTGCAGAGACTGGAAGGGGCAATTAGATCCTGCTCCATAGAGAAGGACTTGCCAACTGCTCTTGGAGAGCTGGAAACGCACCCATGTGCAGAGGGAAGGGCTGAGCCAGCTACTGCCCTTAAAGGTAGCTGCAAGTGTCCTCTCCAAAGAGCCAGGCACCCCCAGGGATGGGTATATCCCCACCTTCTGAGGTTCTACACTGGACACGTCATTGCACTTACTACCGCCTTGTCCTGGAGAAATAACAGCCCACAGCTTCTCTGTGGAAAAGACATATAGCAACAGCCCTGCCCCAGCCCAATAACCCTTTGGCAGCAGCAATCAGCTCCTGGCATCCCAGGTTTTACTGGTACATCCCAGCAGCTGGAGGTGCCGGATCCAAGAGCCACTACAGCCCCAATACAAAGCTCGGCCCAAAAGGAGTCTTAACAGGGCCCAGGAAGGAACCAATGCAAGTTTATAAAAGCTTTTATTTGCTCTTGGTATGACCAAGAATGGGACAGTGATCTTTTATACAATTTGATACAGTAAGTGGTACAAAAGAATGTGTTTTAAATAAAAAGCCAGAGTGGAGTAGCAAAAATATTAAAAGATTAAGTAAAAAATCGTAGGCATGGGAATTAATCCTAGACCTTAAGTTGATGCTGTTTTTTCCACCGTCCGCGTCGGAGAGCACAAAGCACCACTTCCACCCCTGCCCCGCACCACCGCGACACCGGCAGCAGGGGACAGAGAGTGGCCGAGACGCTTGTAGGATAGATTCAACCTCGGGTTTTAGGTTATCATGACCAATTTAATTAAGTTACATGATTTTTGTTTTATTTGCCGTGACATAAAGGTAGTGCCGAGTCTTCCTCTGGCAGCTGGGCTGGCTAAAGCCAGGAAAGCTGGCGCAGGGAAAGCTGCTTTCGGTCCTTTTCCAGGCTGGGCTTCGGCTTCAGTCCACGCTCAGGGCTGGGGAGGGGGTGTCTTCCAAGTAGAGGTTCCCCAAGCAGTTATTTCTCTAACTAGCAGGAAGTTTAGATACCAGCAGAAATAAAGTTACTGCAAATTCCTCCAACATGATTATTAATATTTCTAATCTTTCAGCATCTGCATCACCTCTTGCTGCTCACTCCTCGGCTGGGCCTTGCACCCCACAACACAACACAAAGCCAAGCCCCGCAGTTAAAACTCAACAGTTTTCATACAAACAGAACTAGACCATCTAGAAATATTTCAGTTTATTAACTGGGAAAAGGGAACAGGAAACAGAGGTGGGAGCTGGTACTACCAGCGAGTGGCCTGCTCTCTACCTGCTGGCTTGCAATGAACACAGCGTCTACAAGGATCCCACAGGATTTACACAAGAGGGAGCCGAGCCCCTGGAAGCAAATAAAAAGCCCATGCTTAAAACAAGGATCACACAAAAACCCCTTGATGTACAGCTCTCTGTTTTTCCCTTTTTGATCAGGTTAGAAAGTGCAGGTTTAGCCAAAAGGCAGCCATACTCTATTTACAACACCGGGACATGAGAAGCACCACAGTGCCAATCCATGCCAGCGTCCTGCCCAACCCCAACAGCCACTCGACTGGGAAGGGTTAACACACATGGAGACAAAATGCCAAAATACAGAGGAAAAGGAGACACCTTGGTCAACTTACTATATGGGAAGCCGCTCAGAAACTAGCAATTCAACGTTAAAACACCATCATTTCATTAAAAGTCAGTCAGAGTTATTTACTACTTTAGTTATTTACCAGAGACAGTCCAAAACCCGAGTGGACAAGAGTGAAGCACGAGCTTGCCCAGCTTTAAAGGAGAATGTGAGCCTTGGAGAGGAAGAAGCTTCTATTTAAAACATCTCTTTGTCCTCAGCTCTCCAGAGTGGTGTTTTAAAGCAGGGGAACATACAGACAACTCTGGCAGACTGAGTGCCCAGTCTGGCAGGAGCAAGAGACAGCGTTGGACCACCAGTCCTTAACCCCCTTCCTCTTCAGAAAGGATGAGGCCATGTTGTCAGTGACACTGGAGCCTGGGCAAAGCAAGAAGGCAAGCTGTAAAAGCCAGTGAATCCCAGGGGGGCTGTGGAGCCCCACTGGGATCCCCCCTCTACATTCCCACAGCGTGGATCAAGAGCCAGACTGACCCAAGTACCAACAACTCAGCTTTTAACACTGGAAAATGGAAAGTTTTCAGGGAGGTAATAAATTAAACTGCCAACTTTTGGGTTTCTTTCCCCTTTCTTCTTAACTCTAGTTTCACTCCGCCTTTGGCGAGGCTACCGACCAACTCGACCGAGCGACTAACGGGAAGAGAGAACTTAAAAGTTCGTGTTAACTGCTGTCAGTTTGGGAATTGCATGTTATATTCATACACATAGACAACCACATCACCCTCCATAGAAAACTAGTGCATGCAAAGAACTCTTCCATATCATAAAACCCAACGGCTATGCAGGAGGAGAGAGAAGATATACTAGTGGACTGACATTGCCTAGAGGGAAATTAGTAGGTATCTTTGACATTTTTAACCTTGAAAGCTAAATCAGTGCTTTGTATTAAATTTTTGGCAAACATACCACGTTGCCATCCTTTTAATTAACACATCACACCATGAAGAAATGCAAATAAAAGCAGCATGCAAGCAAAAGGAAAGAGCCGCAAGTGAGGAAAAAAAATGGCAGCAGGAACATTTGAATGGCTAGATCACCAAAAAGGAGACACAGCAGATTAAATGTCATTTGTTTTTTGTTTTTGCACCACCCTTTGTCCTCGATGCATTACACCAACAATTACAGAAAGCAATCACAAAAGAGTTCGGTATTTTAAAATGGTCAAGTATGGATGGTACGTCTCCTGCACATGCTTCCACCAGAAGAAAAGAAACGAAAAGTGAAACTAAAAGTTCCTTTCCACATAAGGCACAGGACAAAACAAACCCCATTCACAGACTCAAGGCGAAAACGAGAGTGTTCCTGGCTCTCTGGCTGATGCATCTAGAGAATACGGTGACTCAAGCACATCATCCATGACAGAAAATTCCACTGTTGTACAAAATAAATTGTTAATTCTAACTTTTATTCTTATACAATTTGCAGAGTAGAGTTGAATATGATTGCTATATGTTTTAATGTCAGGAGGAACGGGACTATAATACAACCAAAACGTAGTGGTAAGTGGAGCAGGTACATTAAAAAATGAAGTCACAGGGATGATTTTCCTATACATGTTGTTGAGGAAATTAGAGTACGCAAGCTGTCCTAAACGGAAAACCAAAGGGAGACAGGAGCTCGTTAAGATGAGGAACAAAACATTGGTTTAAGGTTAAAAAACGGGCAGAGTGGTTTGTTTTGCAGCGAGAAAAAAGGGGCGGTGGATGGCGATTGGTGATATAGGAGAACGTTCAGCAACACTTGCTCTTCCAGCCTGTCACCCCACCTCCACTGCTGATATCTACATTTTCACTGTTGGGCTCTTTTACAGGAGTCTGTAATGAAACAAGTAAAGAAAGTTAGATGACTTGTGAGGTAGCCTGAAAGAAAGTGTTCAGAGCTGAAGAGATTGCAGCTTACAGAAAGAATTACATCACCAAATAATGTTATGAATAAACTACAGACAAAGAGCTCCTCCTGCCCCCCTCCAGCAGAGTACGCAAACCCAGCTAAGGGCTTTTTGTTTGGTTGGTTTTAAATAAAAAACTAGAAAGCTGGAAAACTTAAAAAAACACAAACCAAAAAACAACCATTAAACCTTGAACTCAGACTACCCCAAAATAAACTAAACCTATTTCTAGATCCTGCTTTTAGAACTGACACTCAGACTTTGGTGGACTAAATAAATCACAGCGTACAACCAAAGCAAGCTGCAGTTACATTATGTGAACTAATGACCTTAAAAAAAACACCAAGTCATTTATGCATAAAGAGGGGCTGTTCAAAAGCATCTGCCTTCCAGTTAACCAGGACACCAGTTTCCGAGGCAGTGGCAGAAGAGGCTTGTCTGCGTCACTGGAGGTAAACTTGGTTAGACCAAAGCAAAAATCCAAGTCAAGTGGTTTTGGTCAGACACTAACATCTAACTTTAGAAACTAACCTAAACATTTACCAGACTGCTGCAGTTTAGTCTCTCTATTCCTTTTCTTCCCCATTTTGTCACAGTCTTGCAGAAGCAGCCCCCCTGCTCTTCAGATAAATACACTGAGGCCCAAAACAAAAACTGAGAGGTCAGAAGGGTCAGTAGGACTCGCCAGCCTGACCTCCTCTTTGCCAAAGGGCAGGGATTTTCACCCAGTTTCTCACATAAAACTTGTCAAAAACAGATTAAGAAACAACTCAGTACTACAAAGACAAACCAGACATCATTGAGCAGATGTGTATTTAAAAGGGTTGTGGTAAGCTCCAGCATTGACCTTGCATCAAATTTCTAAGCAATTAACTCAGATGACACTATGAACAGGATTCGCATGGGAGGGTGATGGCAGACAGTGATGAAGGTGTTCTCATCACAGGGCAGTCCCCACTGCTAAGCTGGAGCACAGAAAAAAACCACTGAGGGTTCATTTGTTTACAAGCAACAGCACATACACTAGAGTTGGCCAACCCATGTCTCTTGGGCTCCAGAGAGCTTCAGTGCTGAAGAGACATGACCTGACCGCAAGACGGAAGG